TTGTACTCAAGATCTTGATGGGACCAGTAAATTGATTGCCTTGGCCTACAATTCTCAACCACCTTAAACTTGGAATATGCTTCTTTCCAATCTATTTACTTGTTATGGTATTTTCCCAATCTATTCTCAGGTTGCTATTCACAAGCATTTCTCTCATGGGAAATTGTATTCCTTCTTTAGACAAAGAAAGGCAAACTTTGCCTATTGATACAGTTTTCAAGCTTCCATCTCCATTGCCTAATTGGCCACCAGGTTTGAATTTCACAATCTTTTAACTTAGTAGTTATTGAGTCGAAAGTTGTATGCTAAAATCAGTTCAAAACTGAACCATGAACACTCCCATTCAGTAAATTAATTGGTTTACATATCTTTCATTCGTTTTTTCTTTTATGTTTGATAAGTTTAATGAACTTGAAACTCTAATGACAGGTGGGGAATTTGGAAGTGGATATGTTGATTTAGAAGGGCTAGAAGTTTGCCAGATTGTGACATTTAACAAAGTTTGGGCTATTGATAAAGGAGGGCCAGATAATCTTGGAGCAACATTTTATGAGCCTTCACCAATTCCAGATGGATTTTCCATGTTTGGATGCTATTGCCAACCAAACAATCAACCCCATTTTGGCTGGGTACTTGTAGGGAAAGACAAGAATAATGGTCAAACTCTAAAGAATCCAATTGATTATACACTTGTTTGGAGTAGTGAGTCCTCAAAGCTCAAGAACAAAAAGAGCACTGATGATGGCTATATTTGGCTGCCAATCCCACCTGAGGGTTACAAGGCTTTAGGTCATGTTATCACAACCTCACCTGAAAAACCTTCCTTGGACAAAATCCAATGTGTTCAATCCAATCTTACCGATAAATTAGAGGTTGAGAGTTGGATCTGGGGTGAAGGTACAACAAGCAATGCGAATGGTATCAATGTTCATAGCACAAGACCTCGAGAAAGGGGCATAAAAGCACAAGGGGTCAGTGTAGGTACATTCTTAGCTAGGATCAAAAGTGATCAAAATGATGATTCCAACACATTATCCCTTGCTTGTTTAAAGAATAACAAGTTTGGTACCTTTTCTTCTATGCCTAGCCTTGGCCAAATTCAAGCATTATTTGAACAATACTCTCCACTTGTTTACTTTCACCCCAAAGAAAAGTATCTTCCTTCTTCTGTCAATTGGTATTTTGCTAATGGTGCTTTGCTATACCAAAAAGGTCAAGAATCCAATCCTAGTTCCATTGAACCAAATGGCTCAAATCTTCCACAAGGTGGCCCCAATGATGGTGCATATTGGCTAGACTTGCCAATTGACGCCAAGGACAAAGAGAAAGCCATTAAAGGAGATTTACTAAGCTCTGAGGTGTATCTCCACATCAAACCAATGCTAGGGGCAACTTTCACTGATATAGCTGTGTGGATCTTCCATCCATTCAATGGACCTGGAACAGCTAAACTTGGCCTAATCGACGTACCATTAGGGAAAATAGGCGAACACATCGGTGATTGGGAACATGTAACACTTAGAATTAGCAATTTCAATGGGGTTTTGCACAAAGTTTACTTGTCAGAACATAGTGGAGGGACATGGCTTAATGCACCACTAGTGGAATTCCAAAATGGTAACAAAGTTGTGGCCTATTCTTCACTAAATGGGCATGCCATTTATCCTAAACCAGGGCTGGTTTTACAAGGGACTGGAGATATTGGGATAAGGAATGATACAGCTAAGAGTAATTTGGTTTTAGACTGTGGGGAGAATTATTCAGTAGTTGCAGCTGAAAATCTTGAAATACTTGAGCCACCCTGGCTAAATTATACTAGAGAATGGGGACCAAAAATAAGTTATGCACTTGGGGATGAAGTCAAGAGAATTGAGAGCTTGCTGAAAGGGAACTTGAAAACTGCATTTGAAAAATTGGTCAAAGTATTGCCAAATGAAGTTTATGGAGAAGAAGGGCCTACTGGTCCAAAGATGAAAGGTAATTGGAATGGGGATGAAGTGTGAACTTTGAAAGTCAGTTCTCATAAGAAACAGAATTGAGGCCTTCATGCAAAAGTGTTTTGTAATTTAATTTCCACATGTAATTCAATGTCTCCTTTCTTTCTTTCTTTTTAATTCAATTCATTCTGAAAATGAACTGGAAGTGATTCTTTTCTACATTTATTGATAAATAACAACAAAGAAGAAGAAGAAGAAAAATTGCAACCACAACTTTTCGATCCCCATTCTTCTTATAGATAGTAGTATAGTACTACATTAATCTACTCGGGAAATATCAATTTCTTTCAATTGTGTACACATGTTTTTCTTTCTATCATGCTTTTCACATTTCAGTCTTACTTCCTCTGATCCATGTTAGTTGTCATGTTTCTTTTTTACGTGCCCTTACTAAACTATTAATAGGAGATTTTGACTAGTATACTCTTATTAAATCTTTAATCATTCAACATATTAATCTCTCCTCAGTAAATGTTCCCCTTATTTATGTGCCTTATCCATCAATAGGGATACTCACTTGATATGTACAAGTCGGCTGATGCAAATGAAGAACTCACTGGCATTGAGTAGATAAACAGACACATAGGATAAATAATATTTCGTCTACATTGCACCTAAGTATGGAAATTGACCGTTTTTCTAAATTGAATTTCTATTGCATCTTCAACTTCAATGTTTGTTGAATCTTCAACTTTCAAATGAGTTTTTAGTTCTCTCTCCATATTTTTTATAAATATATTTCATAATAATGGAATTTGTTCTAAGATCAGGTTTTATAAGAGATTGAACAATACAGTAAAGATCCAAAGCAATTAAATGCATTCACAGGAGCAGTAACGGACTTGACTAAATGCTTAAAAGAGTAAGGTTTAGCCAATCTGAACAATCATAACATTACGTGTTTGTACTCTTCCAATTTAGATTTTCTATGCTATGTAATCAATATTTTTCATTTTCAAGACCAATTAAAACTAAGGGCAAAATAGGAAAAAATGATAAATTATACCTTGATTTTCTAAAATGACAACTATTTTGGACCATATATATTTACTAACCACAGCAACTAATATGGACCGAGGGAGTATTATTTTGGACACTTTAACTTCGATTTAATACTCTGCACACTTCCTCTTTTTTCCCTTTTTTCTTAATAGGGAAATCAAAGGACGTTAGGCTTATTGTGATAGATATAGTAAATGGTTTATGTTTCTTGGACTATCTTATTATCCAATTGAAAAAGGTTTATTTGTCTAGAACTGCCAAAAATTGTAAAGAAGTCAAAAGAATATTGAAATCAGTATATTGGAGGCATAAATTTGTAATAGTTGCTATATATAGAATAGCACTTCAACGATGATGCATAACTTTGAGCCTTTTTTTTTTCTTTTGATAAGAATGATGTATAATTTTTAAGTCGTGCAATGACTATTTTTAGGATAATTTGTTTTAATGCTTTGGCATTGTTTAATCTACGTTATGTTAGTAACTAGCTTCAAAACTAGTTTTATAAAAATTTCATCTGTAGTTTAGGAATTTATTTATAGACCAAATATTTTGTATAACTTGTTCCATTTACCATATACTTACCCTTATGCAACAACTTAGAACTACATTAAAAGTAGTTAGACAAGCAAACACCTTTCTTACCGCACCCTGCGTACGGAAGCAGGAGAAGGAAAGAAATTGGTGACATTTTCTAGTCCATCGATTTATCTGTGAGAAAAAAAAGGTTGTAAATACAATAAAGGGAGTGATTTCCCTCAGTTAGAACGTAAACAAAGTCTACAAGCAAATACGAGTTAGAAAACTTATCATCTCCTCTATTTTCCCTTTCCCTACTTCCCAAACAAGGGATCATTTCTCACCAACCATTCAGAAACCGAACAGCAGCAGAAGAGAAGTTTGAAAATGTCCATTTAGAAACCTGCCAAGATCTCAGAAACTAGACCAATTCTTTTAACCAAAAGATTGCACAACGGAAGGGCTAGAAATAGAAGCAACAGAGTAACCATTTTATTGATTACTCCCATTAGAATTTGGACATGGCAAATTGAATCCTCAAGTTAGATATCAGTTCTCAACAAAACCCATTATTCATTCTTTTTATAAATATTTTTCATTTCAATCTGATACTCAACTGTACTTAGTATTACAACATCAAAAGATGAGGACATCTAAAGATAATGTGCTAGTCATTTGAGAAAGAATATCCCCACCTCCTAGGTAAGATGAAATATCAAGCTAAACATTCAGAATGAGATCCACGAAGCACCAACCCTATCGCGAGGAATTAGGCGCAGTTNAAAACGTTCAAACACTATCTTTAGCAGTCTCAAATTGCTCTAAACCAAAAGAACAGATGAAGAGAGACTCCCAACGATCTTATTCTTCCACTAACTAATCAAGTTTCCTTTTCTCAATATTTCTATGAAAAACTGGTACCTTGAGCTCCATGCAACAACTCTTTCTCCACTTATCAGCTTTTAATTCTGCATTTCTACTCTAGTCTATAGGCAGAAAGAACAAAAAGGAGAAGCTTGTGTTATAAATTTGCATGCTCTCTTACTTCATCTATAAACTTATAAGATAGCTTAATCCAATCTCTGTTTCTATTCAGTCTCTCTACCTCCCCAAGGTAGGGGTAAGGTATGCGTGCACATTACCCACCCCAGACCCCGCTTGTGGGATCCCACTGGGTTTGTTATTATAATCCAATCTCTAGTCTTCATTGGTACACTTAGATTTTTCCAAATAACTCTATTGAAAGTGCCCTTAACCGCTGTATAGAGTATCCTAAATTTGATTTTCCTCACTTGAGAAAATTTCCAGTGGAGGTTCAAACCATGAAATTCTGATTATAGATCTCTGCATCTCATAAGGAGCTCAAAGAAGACCATGTTTTGTGGTAAACAAGCCACTAAGCCTCGAAAATCCCTCGGATTCTAATGCACTAAATTTTTATCAGACACGAGGAATATATATTTTAAAACATCCATACCCAAAAATTGCTTATCGTCTAGAAAACAAATAAACCATCAATTAGCAACCAACAAAAAAAGATGAGGTAACTATAAAATATTCATGTAAAGTGTGACATTACCTGCACTTTGCTGAGGATTAATTCCCACTCCATCTGCAACAAGACAAAAGAAAAAAAAAAAGGAAATGTAACACAACCTTATAGTAAAAGCCCAAGCTTTTCTAATTATTACATGCAATAAATAATAAGCATGTTGCTTTTACTTCCCTTTGTACATTGAAAGGGAAGAGCAAAGAATAGCAAAACATTGGGAAGAAGGAAGCAAAGACATTGTTTTCTTGGTACCAAATAGGAAACCCGTATTTACATTGGCAATATAAAACATCAATTTTCTTAACAGGAAATATTTCAATCACTTCCCTTTCGGAATTTTAATCCAAATGTCACCCGAGAATTTAGGATTCACTGAAACTCAACTTTAACCTATGAGGAACTGATGAGCACTACATATCATTTTTATTCATAAGTACGAAAAATAACTCAATAAGGATTACATCGTACCAACTTAATACAGAGTTCACTCTGGTGTCACTTACCTTAATTAATTTGTTTGTCTATAATTATATAACTCTTAGGAGAAGTTTCTTTTTGTAGATAATAACTTTAATTAAAAGAACACCAAAAAGTGCAACCCAAAATTTACTATAAAGGTCAGCCCACAAGACAAAACACACCATTCATGAGATAAAAGAGCACATCCAAGACCACCTAAAATCCCAAGACCCCAAATCCAAATTGAGAAAGTTAAGGCTACTAAACCCGATGCTATAAACAATCATCTAATCCCCTCATTTCTTCACAAGCATGCTATTGGGTTCAAAGTTGAAGTTTGCATTTTGTTAGAATTTCCCAAATTGTTTGAGAGAATGGGAAGTTGTTTCCTTATATGGTCTTAACCAATCCTCACCTTGTCAGCTAATTGAGTTGAGTTAGGGCCAAGATTCATTTAGATGGTATTAGAGTCAGATCCATCCCTAATCTTGTTGTACTTGATGTTGGACTCGCATATTATGTTGTCCATGGATGTGTGGAAAGGTGTTAGAATGTCAAACATTGGTTGAGGGAACGGCTATCGTCTCCTCATCAGGTAGCTCCTGGGCCTGGGTAAAATCATGCCCCATATACAACTTTTTAGACTTTTAGTCTCATTCTTACGACAAACTTTAATTTCTTTCCATTGGCATATTATTATTGAAGTTGCACAAGATTCGTTCTAGAGAAAATCAATTTTATTTAATCAATCAATGGATCAATCAAATATGCCTCAATCCTAATTTGGGTCAACAATTTACTTTGAATTTCCGGGAACCAAACCTGGGTGTATCGGACAAGACCAGTGTATCCAAACTGACTAGACTAATCAAAAATAAAAAATAGAAAACCATAACACAAGGCAAAAGGAGAGAGGAGAATTGTACCATTAGTGATGATGGCGCTTGTTTGGGGAGGGACTTTGAATTCCTCGGCAGCAAATTTGAGAACAGCCGTGAACGGGGCTGCCTCCGGTACGCTAAAACTGATATCAACAATAAAGGAGAAAATCCATATGAAAACACAAGTGATACATTAAATTATGAGTAAAAATAAATAAATAAATAAATAAATAAAATACATACACTTTGAATGGCAATTTGGGATCGGAAGTAAGAGTGACTTTGAACGACACTTTTCCTCCACCAGCAGCACCTCCACTCGCCATCTTTCTCACTATTGAAATTTTTCTGGGGTTGAAGAATCCAACTTTGGCTTTGTCCTAATATTAATTTTTCTTTTAGATTTGGGACCTAATTACAAGATGTGTTGTAGCAGCCAATCAGAAGTGACCATGACAGCATTAAAAGGTATAATTGAAACCTACCTATACTAATTTTCAGCTTGTAAATTTTTTTTTTTTTTTTTTTTTTTTTTTTGGTTTCAAAACGTAAAATTTCTTTCTTTATCTTTATTTATTATACAAACAAAACTATGTTGTAATATCAAACAACACTATGTTGTAATATTTACTTGTGTGTAAATTATCATTATTTTCTTGTGTGACATGCTACATTGTTTTTGTCTTTCTTTTTTTTTAATAGTAGGAAGTATGAGTTTAATCCTATTATGAGGTGTTTATGCTTTACATTATATCTCTAAATAAACTGTGAAAAAAAAAAAGTAAAACATAATGAATATATGAAAAGGGTTTTGTTTTTTCCTTTTAGTCTTGATAAATTTTTGTTGTTCTAACTTTATTTGTGGTATATTCAATCTTACTTAACTTTTTAAATGTGCAAAATTTTATTTTAAGAAATTTAAATAAAAGATGGTAGTATTAGTTCATGAAGCAATAAAATGTGAAAATGTAGTTCTGCTCTATAAAAGAGAAATGTATAGCATAATGGCCAATTTGTCATCATATCATTTAGGAATAAAGGAAATGAAGTAGCTTTACGATAAATTAGTATTAGAACTCGCACGAGACGCGGTCAATATTAAAAAATATTAATTATTTTAAATTATGATTTATCTTTTTAGTATATTATATCATATTGTATTAATAGAATTTCAACTGGCATCTTACTTCTAATACACTATTTCATTATATAAATTTATATAAAATTAGAAAATATAATAAACTAAGAGAATAATACACAAAGATATTATTTGATATATTTAGAAAATGGAAGAATTGTCAACTACTTTTATAAGATCAAACGAAATTCAATCATATTGACATCAACAAACAATTCACCGCACGATGATCCACATTGGCCATTCCAAGAAACATGTACATTATTCTTTTATGTATAATTTTTTAGTAAAAAAATTGTTTTGATAATATCAATACTATTTTACAAAATCGTGTATTACATGGTTCGACATACACGTGCAACCCACGTGCCGGAAGACTAGTGATAATAATATATATAAAGTCAATATGACGTGCTGCAGCGTATAGCCCGATCCACAATATCACTCACAACATGGCTCTCGAGCCCTAACTCAGTCATCAAACTCTCCAGCATCACGAGCTCACATATCTCATACTACTCAGCCCAAACAATGATAACATGATGTAACAACAAATGATAATAGAGACTCAGATACGATATGCAAATGAATAAATATGACTGAGTACATAATTGCAATTTAAACAAATAACTCAACAGCAGAAATGACCTCAGTAGGTCCCAACAGAATAAGCATATAGCCTAAACATGATTTCTAACATGGATCACAGCTCAATTACACTAACACATAGGAATTTCATGGATAGAAACAAGATTAGATAACTACACAGTACCACATAATTAACCGAGTCACAATTACCGCAGTGCACGCCCACACGTCTGTCACTTAGCATGTGTGTCACCTCAACACCAACTACATAACACGTATTTCAGGGATTCATATCGTCAGTACCAAGTTTAGAAGTGTTACTTGCCTTAAAGTGCGCAACTCAATGCTCCAACAAACCCTTGCCTCGCGAATCGGCTTCCGAACGACTCGAATCTAGTCATAAACAACTTAATATAATCAAAACAAGTTATAGGAATCGATCCCACACGTAAAACTAAGTTCTTTAACCAAATTCAAAAAGTCAATCCAAAGAGTCAACCCCGGGCCCTCACCTCGGAACTCAACAAAATTCACAAAATCCAAACACCCATTCAATAACGAGTCCAACAATACAAAAATCATCTAATTCCAACCACAAATCGACCCTCAAATCTTACTCTCCAATTCCTAGTCCAAAATCTCCCAAATTCTACCTTAAAAACACATAATCTAGGTGTAGAAATCAATGTGTATTCAATATTAATGAATAAAAATGATCAAAAGTTGCTTACCTCTTGAAATCTAGTGAAACCCCTCTAAACAATCGCCACTAATCGAGCTTGCAAAGTCCAAAAATGAGAGAATCATCAAAATCCTCGATTTTATCTTCTATCTAGGCATCTCGCACCTGTGGTTTACTTAACCGCTTCTGCGGTCCCGCAGGTGCGGTTCAACTTCCGCTTTTGTGGTTTCCCTTAAGGCCCCTACCTTCGCATCTGCGGACATGCCTCCGCTTCCGCAGAAGCGCACCTGCGTCCAAGATCCCGCTTCTGCGGAAAGCTCCTGCCCCTCGCATAATCCACTTCTGCGACCTTCCTCCCGCATCTGCGAGCTCCCAGGTGCGGAACCTTCCTCATACCTTCGCAACGCCCTAACTCACCTAGAACTGTTTCTGTTATCCCTTGGCCGCTTCCGCGGCCCATTTCTAGCAGGTGCGGTGGCACTAGATCTGATCATAGCAGAAAATTCATAAGTCCAAAATTTAATCTGAATCTCACCCGAGGCCCCCGGACCCCATCTAAACATACCAGCATATCCTAAAACATCATATGAACTTAGTCGAAGCCTCAAATCAAATCAAACAATATAGAAAATACGAATCACACTCCAATTTAAGCCCAATGAACTATTGAACTTCCAACTTCTAAAACCAATGCCGAAATACACCCAACCAACTCCGATTGACCTCAAATTTTGCACACAAGTCATAAATTACATAATGGGCCTATTCCAATTTCCGGAACCAAACTCCAAGTCCGGTAACAACAAAGTCAACTCTCGGTCAAACTTCTTAACTCTCCAAACCTTCAACTTTCCAACTTTTGCCAATTCAAGCCAAAATAACCTACGGACCTCCAAATATATATCCGGACATACTCCTAAGTCCAAAATCACCATACGAAGCTATCGGAACTATCTAAACTCCATTTCGGAGTCGTTTACCCATAAGTCAATATTCGGTCAACTATTTTAACTTAGGCTTCCAACCTTGGGACTAAGTATCCCAATTCATTCTGAAACATCCCCGGAACCAAACCAACCACCCCGGCAAGTCACATAATAACAAACGAACATAGAATAAGCAATAAATAGGGAAATAGGGCTACAATACTCAAAATTACCAGCCATATAGTTACATTCTCCCCTTTTAAACAAACGTTCATCCTCGAATAGGACTAGAATCATACCTGGAGTCTCAAATAGGTGCGGATAGCTGCTCCGTATCTCCCGCTAGGTCTCCCAACTAGCCTCCTCGACTGGCTGGCCTCTCCATTGTACTTTCACTGAAGTTATATTCTTCGATCTCAACTTCCAAACTTGCCGATCCAAAATGGCCACCGACTCCACATCATAAGTAAAATATCCATCTAACTAAACCGTGTTGAAGTCCAAAATATGAGACGAATCACTGTAATACTTGCGGAGCATGGAAACATGAAACACTGGGTGCACACGCGTTAGACTATGTGGCAATGCAAGCTTGTAAGCCACCTCTCCAATCCCCTCAAGCACCTCAAAAGGGCCAATATATCGAGGTCTCAACTTGCCTTCTTCCCGAACCTCATAACACCCTTCACGGGTGAAACTCTGAGCAATACCTTCTCTCATACCATATTGGCATCGTCACGAACCTTCTGATTGGCGTAACTCTTCTGCCTAGACTATGGCATGCGAAGCTAATCCTGAATCAACTTGACCTTATCCAAAGCATCCTAAACCAAGTCGGTACCCAACATCTCCCATATAAGGCCTCATACGGAGCCATCTGAATACTCAATTGGCAGTTGTTGTTGTAGGCAAACTCTGCAAGCGGTAGAAACTGATCCTAAGAACCCCCGAAATCCATAACACAAACGCGTAGCATATCCTCCAATATTTGAATGGTGCGCTCGTACTGTCCGTCCGTCTGAGGGTGGAATGCAGTCAGACCTCTCTATAACGACATCCTTATATAACATCACTTCACTATAAAAGCCAAGTTTTCTCTAGAACCAAATTTCATGTTCTATTATAATATATGTTTTCTATAGCAACAATTCGCTATAACATCCAAAAATATCTAGAACAAACGAGGTTGTTATAGAGAGGTTTGACTGTACTCAACTCAACCTGTGTGCCTAACTCTCACTCCACTTCTCTCCAAATATGCGATGTGAATTGCGTTCCCCGGTCAGAAATAATAGACACCGGCACACCGTGAAGGCGAACAATCTCACGGATATAGATCTCATCCAATCGCTCCAAAGATTGGGTAGTCCCAACTGGAATTAAATGCATGGACTTAGTCAATCGGTCCACAATCACCCAAATAACATCAAATTTCTTCGAAGTACGAGGGACCGCAACAACGAAGTCCATGGTGATACTCTCCCATTTCCACTAAGGAATATCAAGCCTCTAAAGCAAACCGCTCGGCCTTTGATGCTCGTACTTCACCTGCTGACACTTCAAGCATCGAGCTACAAACTCCACTATATCTTTCTTCATTCTCCTCCACCAATAGTGCTTCCTCAGGTCCTGATACATCTTTGCAGCATTCGGATGAATGGAATACCGCGAACTGTGGGCCTCTTGTTACGGCCAAACGCACACACAAGTATACACGGGCGTCAAGTAATAAAGTGACTAAAAGTCAGATGCCGAACCCACTAGGACTTGCGACTAACTATTAACTAAATTAGACTATACTAATTATGTAAACAAGAATTAAACCTAGAAGTATTTGATTCTAAACTAATTAAAATAAGAAGAAAACAACTAATGAACTTTAAACAGAGGAAGAGCAGATTTTTATATTATCAATGTGATAAAAAACGATCTAGGGTTGTGAGCTATCTAACATTCCTGTTGTATTCTTCAATTGAATTGACTAACTAATTTATCTAGTTTATTGGTTAACAAGGTTAATATTGCTCATAAGAATCTAACGAGTTCTTACTC